CTACACTTTTACATGTAGGCTAATTATTTATGTAGGCTACATTTATGCAAAATAGATATACATTTTTTCCAATGTCTGCTTTTTTAGAGGCAATTGGAGCCAAGTGGAGTCGCAATAGCTCAGACACAAGACGTATGTGGCAGGGACTCCAGACAATCACAGGATTTACGATGGAGTTGAGTGGCGACTAGTATGGGCGGACTGGAGCTCCGGCGTTACATACTTGCGGGCTATTCTTTGGGTGCTGAAAACAGTAGTTTTTTATAAAAAACTTTATTTTATGTGATGTCGGCGCTCCAGTCCGCCCACACTAGTTGCCGCTCAACTCCATCGTAAATCGTGGAGTTGAGTTTAATTGGCTATCTCGAGCCCTATACATCACAGGAGGTTGGTGGCACCTCAATTGGGGAGAACAAGCTCGTGGTAATGGCTGGAGGGGATTAAGTGGAAAGGTATCAAATACATCATGATGCCATTCCATTCATGAAGTTAGAGGAGAGAGAGAGTGGTGGACAGCGGCGCAGAGGTGAGGACAGACAGGAACCGATTAACTCCATTACTGACCATCAAATTATAATAATAGTGATTTATTTATTGATTAATAGTAGAATAAAACTCCCTTGATGTACTGGACTCATGATGGATCTCCTCTCTATCTTTCCTTTCCATCTTGCTCCAGAGGGATGGATGAGTAGGACATCAGGCTGCAGTCACACATGAAATAAAAGACAGCAAACTGTTGGGGCTTTATACTTGAGTTGAAAATACAATTATTTTAGAGCAATATGACTTGTATTAACACTATTTCACAATGTTTAACATTGTGTTAACACCATTTTAATGGACGGCTACAAGGCCCTCCCCCGCCCTCCCTTTGGCAAATCAGATCACGCCTCCATTCTGCTCCTCCCTTCCTATAGGCAGAAACTTAAACAGAAAATACCCATGGTAAGGGCTGTTCAATGTTGGTCTGACCAGTCGGAATCTATGCTTCAAGATTATTTTAATCACGCGGACTGCGATATGTTCCGGGTTGCCTCTGCAAATAACATTGACATATACACTGACTCGGTGACTGAGTTCATCAGGAAGTGCATAAGGGATGTTGTTCTCACTGTGACGATTAGAACTTATCCAAAGCAAAAAAGCTGTTCATCGACTACAGCTCAGCCTTCAACACTATAGTGCCCTTCAAGCTCATCACTAAGCTCGGGGCCCTGGGTCTGAACCCTGCCCTGTGAAACTGGGTCCTGGACTTCCTGACTGGTTGACCCTATGTAGTGAAGGTAGGGAACAACACCTCCGCTACTCTGATCCTCAACACGGGGGCCCAACAAGGGTGCGTGCTCAGCCCCCGCCTGTACTCCCTGTTCACCCATGACTGTGTGGCCACGCACGTCTCCAACTCAGTCATCAAGTTTGCAGACGACACAACAGTGGTAGGCCTGATTAACAACAATGACGAGACAGCCTACAGGGAGGAGGTGAAGGCCCTGGCAGAGTAGTGGCAAGAAAATAATCTCTTCCTCGAGTCAACAAAATGAAAGAGCTGATCGTGGACTTCAGGAGACAGCAGAGGGAGCATGCCGCCATCCACATCAACGGGGCCACAGCGGAGAGGGTGAAAAGGCTTCAAGTTCCTTGGCGTGCACATCACTGACAACCTGAAATGCTCCGTCCACACAGACAGTGTGGTGAAGAAGGCACAACAGCGCCTCCTCAACCTCAGGAGGATGAAGAAATTCAACTAAGACCCTTACAAACTTCTACAAATGCACCATTGAGAGCATCCTGTCGGGCTATATCACCGCCTGGTACGGCAACTGCACCGTCTGCAACCGCACGGCTCTCCAGAGGGTAGTGCGGTCAGCTCAACGCATCACCGGTGTCAAAGGAAGGCCAAGAAGATCCTCAATGACTTCAGCCACCCGAGCCATGGCCTGTTCACCCCGATACCATCTAGAAGGCATTGACAGTACAGGTGCATCAAAGCTGGGACCGAGAGACTGAAAAAATGCTTCTATCTCCATGCCATCACATGGTTAAATAGTCAACATTAGCCAGCCTCCGCCCAGTACCCTGCCCTGAATGTTAGTCACTGACTGTTACTAGCAGGCTACCACCCGGTCCTCAACCCTGCACCTTAGAGACTGCTGCTCTATGTACAGTGCAGCAAAATGTCTGCAGCATTGAAGGTCCCCAAGAACACAGTGGCCTCCATCATTCTTAAATGGAAGAAGTTTGGAACCACCAAGACTCTTCCTAGAGCTGGACACCCGGCCAAACTGAGCAATCGGGGAGAAGGGTCTTGGTCAGGGAGGTGACCAAGAACCCAATGGTCACTCTGACAGAGCTCCAGAGTTCCTCTGTGGAGATGGGAAAACCACCCAGAAGGACAACCATCTCTGCAGCACTCCACCAATCAGGCCTTTATGGTAGAGTGACCAGACGGAAGCCACTCCTCAGTAAAAGGCACATGACAGCCCACTTGGAGCTTGCCAAAAGGCACCTAAAGGACTCTCAGACCATGAGAAACAAGATTCTCTGGTCTGATGAAACCAAGATTGAAGTCTTTGGCCTGAATGCGAAGCGTCACGTCTGTCACCTGGCCAATACCATCCTTACGGTGAAGCATTGTGGTGGCAGCATCATGCTGTGGGGATGTTTTTCAGCGACAGGGACTGGGAGACTAGTCAGGATCGAGGGAAAGATGAACGGAGGAAAGTACAGAGAGATCCTTGATGAAAACCTGCTTCAGAGCGCTCAGGACCTCAGACTGGCACGAAGGTTCAGCTTCCAACAACGACCCTAAGCACACAGCCAAGACAACGCAGCAGTGGCTTCGGGACAAGTCTCTGAATGTCCGTGTCAAACGTGATATTTCAGTTTTTTAAATAAAATTGCAAAAATGTCTAAAAACCTGTTTTTGCTTTGTCATTATGGGGCATTATGTGTAGATTGATGAGGGAAAAAACAAACAATTTAATAAATGTTGGAATAAGGCTGTAACGTAACAAAATGTGGAAAAAGTCAAGGGGTCTGAATACTTTCCGAATGCACTGTACATATACACTGAGTGTACAAAACATTAGGAACACCTGCTCTATCCATGACATAGACTGACCAAGTGAATCCAGAATATATGATCCCTTATTGATGTCACTTGTTAAATCCACCTCAATCCGTGTAGATGAAGGGGTGGAGACATTTTAAAGAAGGATTTTTAAGCCTTGAGAAAATTGTATGTGTGTCATTCAGAGGGTGAATGGGCAAGACAAAATATTTACATGTATTTGAACGGGGTATGGTAGTAGGTGCCAGGTGCAGGGGGCACCGGTTGTGTCAAGAACTTTGATTTTGATTTGATTTCACAATAATGTTTCCTGGAAACAGACGCAGACGCTCTTATCCAGAGCGACTTACAGTTAGTGAGTGCATAAATTTTTCATACTTAATCATTCACTATCAATCACTTCTATAGTTCAGATTAAATCATTTGATATGATGAACCAATAACAAAGAGAGAAATGCAGAAAACAAGGTAAAAACAATTTTACCAGTTGTATTTACATTGTCATTATGAAGACACATATTGGGTAACTGCGAAAAAAAAAATGTTGGGCTAGTTTTCAGGCTTTGTGGGAGGGTTTTGATTGGTCAATGACAAAAAACAAATGGGTAGACCTGGCAACCCTGGGTACGACTCTCTTTTTGGTCTGCGTGGCAATATTACTGTTTTACAAAATTTCTGTGAAGTATAATATTTATAGCTACTGTATTGGAGTTTTTTTTCCAATGAAGTAATTTGCACAATTTAATTTTACTTTAATTTGCTCAGGAGCTAGAACATCGAAATACACTAGGCCATATAGCTAATTTAATTGAGAAATTAATTATAATTTGATGATAACAGGCTGATTATCAAAATGCATGATATTACTATATATATATATATATATATATTTTTTTTTTTTACATAATATGAACACAACAAGCATATTAACATTTTGTTGTGTACCCTGAGTGTGTTTATGCAATTAATTAATCTGCTAAATAAATGAAAACGCCCTTTGACCTCTCCCCATACTGAGGTGCATGTTGTCCTCATGATGTCTACCCAGTTTCTAAATTAGAGACTTGCGGGGCACGCTTTTGTTGGAAAGGACCGAGATAAAAACACACACGACACATCCTGGTCATCCATAACTGGTTTGCTGCTGCTGGTGTGGGGAACTTTTTTTACGTTTTGCTGTTCAACACGTGCTTTTGTCAGAACTGAATTTGCCTCTGGAAACGGGAAAATCGTGTATCCTAGTCTAAGATAGTGGATCTCTACGGTAATTAACTTTCTCTTCAATTGCAGTTCCATATTGATCTTGAACTGACGCTGCTTTTTTTAGGTTAGTACACTCAGTGTAGGCTAACACTGTATGTAGTGAGTAGTACACTAGCTATAGCTAGCTAAAATAGCTATCTATCATCACGGGTATCATACATTACTCAAATGATGACTTATTACTGTAACAACTCGATGGTTCATGCCCGTTGTGTAAGTGAAAGGGGCTTTCTGTTTAGATAAACTGTCTACTGAAAAGCTATCATATCACTCATGCAAACAGTTGCCACAGAGTTTTCAGTTGCAGTGCATCATTGCAATCGCACCATGGTATGAAAGATAGTGGTCAGGCTGTGCTGTTAGTAAACTGATTTTGAGTTGTTGGTGCCTCAGTCTTTATCTCTGCTGCTGCAGGTGTCATCCCCATACATGCAATCCAAAAAGCAGTCTTGACCATGTGTTTCAGTGACTCATGCCAGGACAAACATTTGCATAATGCTTTATTTGTAGATTTCACACTTTGTTTCTGACCTTACACCCAGAGATGCTCTTACTAGGTACTTTGACTGTAATAACCAGTGTGCTTTTCTTTCTGCTTTCAGGAGTTTGATATTTTTCCACATTTGACTGCATGTGCCTGAGAGTCTGACGCTGAATCTCTTCAATGGCTGCCTCGGGCTCCACCTCTGTGTCTGAGGGTTTCCACTACGAGACTAAGTACATTGTCCTCAACTACCTGGGGCTCCTGCCCCCCTCCCAGCTACAGGCCACTACTGGCGGAGGTAAGGGACAGGCTGCACCCCCTTATCACTCACACTAAATCAGGATGGAGAAGATACTGGGGATAGGAGGGAATGCCTGCTTCCCGTTCCCAATTCTCCACCACTAGCACACTACCCACCAATGATTTAAAATTGGTGTACGCATTGGCAGGAGGGAGTTTAGTTAAATCCATGCGAGAGAGTGTATGAATGCACACTTCGGGGGAAGGGTAAAGAATTGGGGTGCAGACACAGTCTATGCAGATTGCCACCCTTCTGCCTGCCAGTGCCTATCCCCCTTTTCATTGGCGCTCATTAGAAATATGTGATTGCTGTCTTAGTCTCTGGCTTGAAAACCTGCCCAGAAACGTTAGTACAGAGGCTGTTTTGTATTCTGCCTGGGTTGAGCTAGTGGATGCTAGTATTTTCTTGTCCTAATTCTGGGAGTTCACACAAACATGGTGAGCATGCATATGTCAATCAAAGCTTCCTAGAGTCCTACCGTGCCTTTACAGAATGTATGGGCAGCTTGTGCTGGCACCACTTCCAAGCATGTTGGTATCTCTACCCTAGTTATGTGGAGACTGAACAGCATCTAGTAAGGTTGACAGTAGGGTTGGGCGATATTACGATGGTATCATCTATCGACGATGATTGACAGGTTAGCTTATTTGAACTTGACTGGCACCACGCAGTAAAGAATGGAGTCAGTATGAAAAATGTATGCACTCACTAACTAAGTCACTCTGGATAAGAGCGTCTGCTAAAATGACAAAAAAATAATGTAAAATGAGTCGGGCAGCGGACGGCAGGGCAGCACACAAGTGACATTCTGAGTAATCTGCCTATTCCTATTTGCTATAGCCTATTTCAATAAATAGCCTGAGTTTTATATAGGCCTACAGAACGCAAGAGAGCAATGTAGGCTAGACATTTTACATTTTAGTCATTTAGCAGACGCTCTTATCCAGAGCGACTTACAGTTAGTGAGTGCATACATTTTCATACTGGCCCCCCGTGGGAATCGAACCCACAACCCTGGTGTTGCAAGCGCCATGCTCTACCAACTGAGCTACACGGAGCGGAGAATTCCACCAAAGCAGTGCAAAAGGTCCAGTCAGAAAATATTATCTCGCTGTCTCTCTCTTGCTCTGTCGGTTGCATGGGCCTTATAGCCTAAACCGATTGATTTTTATAAGGGACACTCCTTAACTATATTCTGTCTAGCTGTTTAAAAAAACGTAGGCAATATTCCCTTCTCTCCATTCGATATGACTTTGGGCTAGGCTACGGTTTCATCGTTTTATGCATGCATGCTTTCTCTCCCAATCAAACAATGAATGCATTGTACAGAGTTCTATCTAAAAAAGTTTGTTTGAATAGCCTAAAAACGTAAGAGGGCCATGGGACTAATAATGACAAAGAACAAACCATATCAATATAGACAAATCTAATGACCAGTTTAATCAAATTTAAGCTTATTAAGAAATAAATTATCCGTGAGGGGTGGAAAAATCCCTCCATGCGAGGTTGAAAACCAAATGGCCAATTACCTATTGTCTTACTAGGCCTATCATAAAAACTTTAAGACAAATTAAAGCCTTTTTCCCAAATAGCCTAAGGTACTGTTGTCCTAAAGTTGCCACTTTCAAAAAAGAACAAGAATGAAAGTCGGAGTCTATAGGCCTAGACTAGTCTCAATCACAGCTTTATGAGAGACTATAAACAATAGCCTATTCAGAGAGGAGGATGAGGCAAAGCAATTATTATCCAGTTCTGAAGATGGTAGACTTTGCTTCTATCCAGCCCATGATTCTATAACCTAACGCACTACAGTAAGGCCTGTTCCTCATCAGTTGACTGTCACTTTGCTCCATCATGTGTGCGAGACACACACATACCTGTTCCATGCTGAATCTCCACCAGAAAATACTATTAGAAAATAATTGCCAGCATTTAGCCTCTGACCAGGCTTTCAACAACATTATCTTTTGTCATGATTCGTCCAGTTGTAGCATGCAATTTCACGCTATAGCCCAACAGTGGTTTTTGAATATTATAATTTTTATTCCCAAAATGTTTTTAGGGGGTTGGCCAGTAGGGGGTGATACCATGGTATATCACAATGTTTTATGAGTACATAATCATGAGAGGACAGAGATTGACATCGTCCAAACCTAGTTGACCGTCACTGGCATTAGGGTGGGAAATTGTTTGATATACTAGCCTGACCTGCTCTCCTAACTACGGAGGGCATGACAGCCCTGTAGGAGCAGTAGTCTGGGGTTCTCTGAGGTCTGACATGTGCCCCATGTGATTGCCATGGAAAAGTAATGAGTCTGACGGTTCCCTATGAAAGGCAAAGACCTCTTGGCTCTGACAGGAAGAGCAGGACTTTCGTATTTCCTGTCGCCTGTTTTGTCAGAGGGGGTGGGCGACGTAGAGACGAGTGCCTGATCCCTGCTTTCCGCTCGACCCACTCCTTGTTCTGACAGCCTGTCGTGGGCAATCACTGTAGGATTACTCACCCGCCACCGGGCAAGAGCAAAAAGAGGCGCAGGCCGGACTGACGGACTGCTGAACCAGCACCTAGCCTGGCTGGGAAAACCAACACGGCGCCTCACTGTGTCTCCCTGAGTGAGTTAATGTGTGAGCAGCCAGGAGAGAGTATAAGGGTTAATGAGATGATTGATGTGTGTGAATGAGGGGTGTGCATCTGGGCCTGTAAGCACGCAATGAGAGCAGAGCGTGTATTGCTAGAGAGTGGAGAAGAAGAAAGGGAGGGAGGAGCGAGCAGCTTGAAAAGAGAGCGTGTGTGGGAGTATGTACAAACTCTGTTGTCAATCCATCCATGACAGCTCTGTTTGGTGAACGGTGCATATTGAAAATCCACACCTGAGAAGGGCCTATACTCAGGCAAGATGGAGTGCATTGCTGCTACTTTGCATTGTAAGGGTGACTGTCAAATAGTGATGAGCATTGAACAATGGCTTAACTTTGCTCTGTGTAGATTGGTGTCCCTAGTCTCCATACAGTTCAGTTTATTTTTTGTTACCTTTTAACCTCCCTGTAAACCATTACATAGGCCTACAGTATGTGTACATTTGTGGCCAGCAGTTATTACATCATACAGTCAGTAACATCAGAGGTTTTGCACAGACATTTACATTACATTTATGTCATTTAGCAGACGCTCTTATCCAGAGCGACTTACAAATTGGTGCATTCACCTTATAGCCAGTGGGATAACCACTTTACAATATATATATTTTTTTTTCTTTGGGGTGGGGTAAGGGGGGGTAGAAGGATTACTTTATCCTATCCCAGGTATTCCTTAAAGAGGTGGGGTTTCAAGTGTCTCCGGAAGGTGGTGAGTGACTCCGCTGTCCTGGGGTCGTGAGGGAGCTTGTTCCACCATTGGGGTGCCAGAGCAGCGAACAGTTTTGACTGGGCTGAGCGGGAACTGTGCTTCCGCAGAGGTAGGGGGGCCAGCAGGCCAGAGGTGGATGAACGCAATGCCCTCGTTTGGGTGTAGTGACTGATGAGAGCCTGAAGGTACGGAGGTGCCGTTCCCCTCACAGCTCCGTAGGCAAGCACCATGGTCTTGTAGCAGATGCGAGCTTCAACTGGAAGCCAGTGGAGTGTGCGGAGGAGCGGGGTGACGTGAGAGAACTTGGGAAGGTTGAACACCAGACGGGTTGCGGCATTCTGGATGAGTTGTAGGGGTTTAATGGCACAGGCAGGGAGCCCAGCCAACAGCGAGTTGCAGTAATCCAGACGGGAGATGACAAGTGCCTGGATTAGGACCTGTGCCGCTTCCTGTGTAAGGATGTTGTAGAGCATGAACCTACAGGATCGGGTCACTGCCTTGATGTTAGCGGAGCACTGATAACTAATGTTTGCACAGTGCAACTGTTGTTTTTTATTTTTATTTTATTTTTTATTTTATGTCATTTAGCAGACGCTCTTATCCAGAGCGACTTACAGGAGCAATTAGGGTTAAGTGCCTTGCTCAAGGGCACATCGACAGATTTTTCACCTAGTCGGCTCGGGGATTAGAACCAGCGACCTTTCGGTTACTGGCACTACGCTCTTAACCACTAAGCTACCTGCCGCCTATATATATAGCTTAATAACACAAGATGGATATTGGTCTCCACTAGGCTACGACATACAAGTGTGAAGTGTATCCTAAGGTTGCGAATGTGTCAAAATTTGGTTCAGTTGTGGTCTAGCGGTTAGTGCCGTTGCCTTCAGCGTGCACACACAGGCCTACCGTGTCGACATGGGTTCGATTACGGCCCACGCCCTTCTGGCACAAATAACTCAATCCCCTGATTGACTTGATTTAGTTACACATTACAAATATACAGTTAGTCAAGTTTGGACACACCTTGTTACGGATACTGTGGTGTTTTGTGTACTCACTAAGTTGCTGGTTACTCTGTTTGGTAACTTTGTTAGAGACTTGATAGAAAACGCCAATCTCGTGTGTGCCACGTTAACATGTTGAAGACATACCACACCAGACCCGTCACTCAGATAGACAGTCCAGAGAAACTGGCCGAGTCGGCTGTCCCTATTGCTGCTACGGCTGTAGTGGGAGGTCATGTTAATGATGGGGGTCGGATAATGTGTTGGCAGATGCTTTGTCTCGTGTTTAAAGATCTAGGTTTTTTTTGTTATCCCGTCAGGATGCTGTTGATCTTTGAATTTTGGGTGTTGTGATGGTACGTGTGTCGCAAACCATTGTGGTTTGCTCTTTTAAGGGTGGGAGTGTTACGGATACTGTGGTGTTTTGTGTACTCACTAAGTTGCTGGTTACTCTGTTTGGTAACTTCGTGTGTTTCTGGGAAAAGGGGAATCTAAGCAAGTTGCCCTTGGGCGTACATTACCCGTAGGAAGAAAACTGTCTAAAAACACTAGTTAGACCTGAGCGGACCACCCACTGTACTTTTGTATGATTAGCAGTAGCTTAGCGGTTCTTGAGGCAGGCAAGATCAGTTTAGGGGTGTTTTACACTATTGTTTCATTTCTTGGGTCCTGCTCAGCCCTTTTTCCCAAACCTTTACCGTGTGTTCAAAAATAAACCTTTTATGTTTGACGGTAGTTTATGGTTGTCGTGTAGTTTTTGTTCTCACTGTTCCATGTCACGCTTATAATTTGCATGAATTATGTTACGGGTCTCATGTCCATCCACCCTAGACGTTTAAAGCCACGGGGTTCGTAACACACCTACTCATTCAAGGGTTTTTCTTTATTTTTACTATTATTTACATTGTAGAATAATAGTGAAGACAGCAAACAAGTGCTCAGCATACAGTGAGGGGAAAAAAGTATTTGATCCCCTGCTGATTTTGTACGTTTGCCCACTGACAAAGAAATGATCAGTCTATAATTTTAATGGTAGGTTTATTTGCACAGTGAGAGACAGAATAACAACAAAACAATCCAGAAATACGCATGTTATAAATTGATTTGCATTTTAATGAGGGAAATAAGTATTTGACCCCCCCCCCACCCCCCCACACCTCTCAATCAGAAAGATTTCTGGCTCCCAGGTGTCTTTTATACAGGTAACGAGCTGAGATTAGGAGCACACTCTTAAAGGGAGTGCTCCTAATCACAGTTTGTTACCTGTATAAAAGACACCTGTCTACAGAAGCAATCAATCAGATTCCAAACTCTCCACCATGGCCAAGACCAAAGAGCTCTCCAAGGATGTCAGGGACAAGATTGTAGACCTACACAAGGCTGGAATGGGCTACAAGACCATCGCCAAGCAGCTTGGTGAGAAGGTGACAACTGTTTGTGCGATTATTCGCAAATGGAAGAAACACAAAATAACTGTCAATCTGCCTTGGCCTGGGGCTCCATGCAAGATCTCACCTCGTGGAGTTGCAATGATCATGAGAACGGTGAGGAATCAGCCCAGAACTACACGGGAGGATCTTGTCAATGATCTCAAGGCAGCTGGGACCATAGGCACCAAGAAAGCAATTGGTAACACACTACGCCGTGAAGGACATCCTGCAGCACCCGCAAGGTCCCCCTGCTCAAGAAAGCACATGCATGCCCGTCTGAAGTTTGCCAATGAACATCTGAATGATTCAGAGGAGAACTGGGTGAAAGTGTTGTGGTCAGATGAGACCAAAATCGAGCTCTTTGGCATCAACTCAACTCACCGTGTTTGGAGGAAGAGGAAGGCTGCCTATGACCCCAAGAACACCATCCCCACCATCAAATATGGAGGTGGAAACATTATGTTTTGGGGGTGTTTTTCTGCTAAGGGGACAGGACAACTTCACTGCATCAAAGGGACGATGGACGGGGCCATGTACCGTCAAATCTTGGGTGAGAACCTCCTTCCCTCAGCCAGGGCATTGAAAATGGGTCGTGGATGGGTATTCCAGCATGACAATGACCCAAAACACAAGGCCAAGGCAACAAAGGAGTGGCTCAAGAAGAAGCACATTAAGGTCCTGGAGTGGCCTAGCCAGTCTCCAGATTTTTCTATGGGATTAAGGTCTGTGGAGGGAGCTGAAGGTTCGAGTTGCCAAACGTCAGCCTCGAAACCTTAATGACTTGGAGAAGATCTGCAAAGAGGAGTGGGACAAAATCCCTCCTGAGATGTTTGCAAACCCGGTGGCCAACTACAAGAAACGTCTGACCTCGTGATTGCCAACAAAGGTTTTGCCACCAAGTACTAAGTCATGTTTTGCAGAGGGGTCAAATACTTATTTCCCTCATTAAATGCAAATCAATTTATAACATTTTTGACATGTGTTTTTCTGGATTTCTTTGTTATTCTGTCTCTCACTGTTCAAATAAACCTACCATTAAAATTATAGACTGATCATGTCTTTGTCAGTGGGCAAACGTACAAAATCAGCAGGGGATCAAATACTTTTTTACCTCACTGTATGTGGGAACTCCTTCAAGACTGTTGGAAAAGCATTCCAGGTGAAGCTGGTTGAGAAAATCCCAAGCGTGTGCAAAGCTGTCATCAAGGCAAAGGGTGGCTACTTTGAAGAATCTCAAATATAAAATATGTTTTGATTTATTTAACACTTTTTCTGGTTACTACATGATTCCATGTATGTTATTTCATAGTTTTGATGTCTTCACTATTCTTCTACAATGTAGAAAATAGTAAAAAATAAAGAAAAACCCTTGAATGAGTAGGCATGTCCAAACTTTTGACTGGTACTGTGTGTGTGTATATACACACACACACAATCCAGGGATATTTTACCGCTGATCTTGATAAGGAATGACTAGACACTTTTGGAAAACATAAATAGGAAACAAATAAAATAATAACAGTAGGCTACACCAACATTAGTTTCCATTCATACAAAGTGTTGGGTAAATTGCCACAGTATGTTTGCCGTGGTAAACAAGGAAATACTTTTATATTGTACAGACTGCTTGTCAAATAAATCATGCTTAGTCTGTTAGAAACGGACTGTTCCGATGACAAAACCAACCACAGGGCGAACATATTTTGAAAGACTGGTTGCAAGCAAGACTAAAGCAGAGAGGAAGAGGCGACGCGAGAGGGCTCACTCGCCAAAATCTGTCCAGAATAAACCCAATGCGTTTCTATGTGCTTAATATGCAGACCTGAGCTTGTCGCCTGCCTTCCTTTCTTTGGGACAACGATTCCCATTGTTGGGGCGAAGACATGAGCGTCTCGTCATTATATACAGATCTCTGACTAAGGTAACACTGACATCATCTTTTAGGGAGCGGTAATGAGGTGACCAATAATGGTTGCAATTGAGATGAGCTGTGCGGGTGAATTTAGCTAATTGATGGTTTAATGAGACAGCTGGCAACGATCTAGTGCCTTCAATGGTTGCAATAGGCCCCTTGTTAGTTTGATTATATTCCAATAGGCTACATTTTGAAGGCTACCCGTGTGAAAACCGATAATAGGCTACTGTTTGTTTCCCTGGCTGAGTTAATGAGCTGATTTAGGCCATCAGTTGATTGATAATGGTATTTTTTTATTTAAAAAAATGTTTCATGGTGCACAAGACACCTGTCTGATTCACGCCTGTCTCAGTGGACTAATCCATTGCGGAGGCCACATGGATGGCACAGTCCATCACTCTTAAGACGTGATTCAAAAGCTGGCTGTTTTTAGATGAAATGAGAGAACCTAGTTGATCTCAATATCACCCTCACTTTCAATAACAAACAACTTGAGGATATGCACAAAGAGAATAAAAGCTAAAGGGCACTGTTGACAAACTGTAAATCAAAGTAAACGATGTTGTCCGTGACAAGAGCCCTTAATGAGACAGTGCTGAATCTAATATTCTCTGGCATAGAAGAGGTCAAATCTAGAAACCCTGAGGCATCTGTGAGTGAGTTCATATCTACTAAACTGAATTTCACTAGACCATGTACAAATAATGACATTTTCTAGAGTACAAAGAATGTGAGGTACATCCCATTATTGCCTGCTCCCCATAATAGATTGTTTTGAGCACTTCCAGCAGAAAATCATGGTTCAAAGAAAAAGAAGAGGGCTCGAAGGCACAAACCTATGGCATGAACGACCAGTTCCCGAAAGAAATCTGTGACTGAAGGAAAATACTTTTCCCAACGTAAAAAAAACAACAGAGAAATGAGTAGACGCGTCCTCTATGGTGGTTAATAAACTTTACATCGATGGGCAGCTATATACATTGCATTCAGAAAGTATTCAGACCCCTTGACCTTTTTCCACATTTATCCAACATACAGTGCTTTCGGAATATATATTCAGACCCCTTGACTTTTAAATGTTTTTGTTACGTTACAGCCTTATTCTAAAATTGATTAAATAGTTTTTTCCCCCTCATCAATCTACACACAACCCCATAATGACAAAGCAAAAACAGGTTTTTATACATTTTGGCAAATGTATAAAAAATATCACATTTACATAAGTATTCAGACCCTTTACTCAGTACTTTGTTGAAGCGCCTTTGGGAGAGATTACAGCCTTGAGCCTTCTTGGGTATGACATTACAAGCTTGGCACACCTGTATTTGGAGTGTCTCCCATTTTTCTCTGCAGATCCGCTCTTTCAGGTTGGATGGGGAGCGTCGTTGCACAGCTATTTCCAGGTCTCTCCAGAGATGTTCGATCGGGTTCAAGTCCGTTCTCTGGCTGGGCCACTCAAGGACATTCAGAGACTTGTCCCGAAGCCACGCCTGCTTTGTCTTGACTGTGTGCTTAGGGTCGTTGTCCTGTTGGAAGGTGAACCTTCGCCGCAGTCTGAGGTCTTGAGCACTCTAGAGCAGGTTTTCATCAAGGATCTCTCTGTACTTTGCGCTGTTCATTTTTGTCTCGATCCTGACTAGTCTCCCAGTCCCTGCCGCTGAAAAACATCCCCACAGCATGATGCTGCCTCCACCATGCTTCACTGACATGATGCTTGGCATTCAGGCCAAAGAGTTCAATCTTGGTTTCATCAGACCAGAGAATCTTGTTTCTCATGGTCTGAGTCCTTAAGGTGCCTTTTGGCAAACACCAAGCAGGCTGTCATGTGCCTTTTCCTGAGGAGTGGCTTCCGTCTGGCCACTCTACCATAAAGGTCTGATTGGTGGAGTGCTGCAGAGATGGTTGTCCTTCTGGAAGTTTCTCCCATCTCCATAGAAGAACTCTGGAGCTCTGTCGGTGACCATCGGGTTCTTGGTCACCTCCCTGACCAAGGCCCTTCTCCGATTGCTCAGTTTGGCCGGACGGCCAGCTCTAGGAAGAGTCTTGGTGGTTCCAAACTTCTTCCATTTAAGAATGATGGAGGCCACTGTGTTCTTGGGGACCTTCAATGCTGCAGAAATGTTTTTGCACCCTTCCCCAGATCTGTGCCTCGACCCAATACTGTCTCGGAGCTCTATGGACCATTCCTTCGACCTCATGGCTTGGTTTGTGCTCTGACATGCACTGTCAAGTGTGGGACCTTTTTATATAGACAGGTGTGCCTTTCCAAATCATGTCCAATCAATTGAATTTACCACAGGTGGACTCCAAATCAAGTTGTAGAAACATCTCATTAATGATCAATGGAAACAGGATGCACCTGAGCTCAATTTAGAGTCTCATAGCAAAGGGTCTGAATACTTATGTAATAAGGTATTATTATTTATTTTTTTACTTGTAATACATTTGCAAAAATGTCTAACCCTGTTTTCGCTTTGTCATTATGGGGTATTGTGTGTAGATTGAGGATTTTGTCAAATTAAATCAATTTATGATTAAGGCTGTAACGTAACAAAATGTGGAAAAAGTCAAGGGGTCTGAATACTTCCCGACTGCAGTATACATACATGCATACATACATGGCTGTGTGCTCTATTTTATACACCTGTCAGCAACGGGTGTGGCTGAAATTGCCGAACCACTAATTTGAAGGGGTGTCCACATACTTTTGTGTGTATGTATGTGTATATATTTTTTTATTTCAGATTTACGTGAGTGGAAGTTTCACCATGGCACGGACTGTGGCGATACGTTGGCACACAATAATTATTACAATATGGCAATATACCTGAGACATGAATCGAGTTGAAGGGAAGGCATATACAGGCTGTCACCAATTTATTGTTGTGCAATTTGCCCAAATGTATAATGGAAACCTCTAACCACTCGACAGATATTAGCGTTTTAATTTTATAATTTAAGGTATTTACCCCCTTTTTTTTTTCTCTACCCAATTTCGTGATATCCAATTGCGATCTTGTCTCATCGCTGCAACTCCCCAACGGGTTCGGGAGAGGCGAAGGTCGAGTCATGCGTCCTCCGAAACATGACCCACCAAACCGCGCTCCTTAACAGCTAGCCGCACCAATGTGTCGGAGGAAAGAAGTCAGCCTGCAGGTGCCCGGCCCGCCACAATGAGTCGCTAGAGCGCGATGAGCCAAGTAAACCCAACCCGGACGACGCTGGGCCAATTGTGCGCCGCCCTATGGGTCTCCCGGGATCGAACCCGGGTCTGTAGTGACGCCTCAAGCACTGCGATGCAGTGCCTTAGACCGCTGCGCCACTAGGGAGGCCGAAATTGTTTTTTCTTTTAGGTGTGATGTCCAGCTGTTTTTCTTTACACAAGACCATTCAATGGAAACGCACCGTAGCAGGCAATTGTTGCATCTATTTTCTATTCTAACGTTCTAAATGTCGACAAAAAATCTCTGGAAAAGTTAATGGAAACCTAGATAATGATGTAATTGATTCCAAATATGTCATGTGTGACTGTTAGTGTCATGTGATGTTGTGTTTCCTTCCAGGAGATGACCAGTATGCTGTGGACAGAGAGATGGAGAGAGAGAGGAACAGAGTGATGAAGGGACAGATAGAGGAAGAGCTGAGGCAACTGGAAGATGAGATCTCAGCCTGTAAGAGGAAGCCACACACACCAGATATTGTATGCCCTCACAACACAGACATGTCTGAGCATGCTAATAGTTGGGTATTTCAGCCCTCATCACACTGTTCTTGTACAACTGGGTCTGGGACTGTCAAAGAAATGAATGAGTGTGTGTGTGTTTACAGCCTTCTCCAGTACAGGCTTCGACTGCCACATGTCTCCAGTGTTCAGCCCTGCCAACCCAGAGAGCTCCATCGAAGACTGCCTTGCTGCTATGGGCGACCGGGTGGCCAGAGACCTGGACACACACCTGGCCTCCACTGTACACACACTCCTCAGTGCGTGAGTATCTGTTCTGCAGTGTACACCAATTACTTTATCTATGAATGGACAAAGCCATCGATCACGTGACACCATTCATTCCTATGTGAAGACTTGATAGCGCATTTGAAGCCAAGGAAGTTGGTTCAGATGGCATCTCATGTAGGTGATTTATGTAGACATGCGCAGTTGGAGCTACTCCAGGAAGTGACGCTGCAGGCTAGCTCAGTGCTACTCCTCTCGTTGAGTATCTCAAGCTAGAGGCTGAACAGGGTACTGCAGGCTGCCATTAGCTACTAAATTATCATAACTTATTCTGTGTGAGATTTTAAAATAAGCGGTTCAAGGACATGCATCTGGTGTAATGGAAGCAATTATTGGTACCAGGATTGCCTTCTGTCTTTTTTATTTATGTGAAGATTGCCATTTTCCCATTCACTATAAAGGGGATCCTGTTTTCTGCAAACAATGCCTGCAGTACCATGGTCGGCCTTGAACTTCGTGGCTTCAATGAGAGGGGGCAGTCGTTCTCTCCTGGTGTACACCCAGCCTAACATTCTCTCACTGTGTGTGTGTGTGCGTGCAGCCAGTTGTCATGTTCACTGTTCACCCTTTAAGAGAACAGATTAGTAAACTCTGTGTATTGCTGTTTTCCCTACATTGTTGAAACCTATTGGTTTGGTAGTTTACCATTTTGGTTGGGAAAAGGCATGCGTTTCAGTGCCTTCAAGAGTCCTTGAATACAGTCAGCACAGCAGTGCCTGGGTAGGCTCATCAGCCAGAGCATGTGAGCGGAGTGGAGCGGGAGCGGGCAGATTTTGGACAGAACCCAGAGCGGCATTTTTAAAAGGACGGAGCGTCACCCTATGTCCCGCTCCAATTTCGCTCGCTCACACCACGAGTCTGAAGCATGCTCAAGCCTGACCCAGAATCCATCTGTTTAATTTAATTTGTCGTCCATGAATTTGTATTTTATAGAGCGAGAGGAGCAGCAGCAGCAACAAGAGAAAAGGGTTGAGGAATTCAAACGTTTCTTCACTGCACGCAAAGGCCCAACCATAACAAGGGAGAGAAAAAGAGAGCTGGATGTAGCATTTAAAAAAATGATTTACATGAACCGCTGATTAAAGGAGAACGCGAAGGGATGCAACACTTCACCGGCGCAGCTCAACCGTGCTAACCTCCTCCCTGGCACTGAAGAGGAGGATGAGGGACCACTAATGTAGAAACTATGATAAATCGGTACTTTACTGTGTCAAATTTACATCTGAGATGCTCCATTCACATGCTTCAGCTGGCGATCAAAGACACCGTTAACGAGCACGACAACATTAATAGGCTGTTAGTGAAAGCCGGGCACCTGGTGAAATGTGTACGCAAGAGCACCCTGAACACAGAGGAAACCGACCAATTAGGTGTCGGCCCCACAAATGCCTGCGCCACTCGATGGAGCAGCCAGCTGCGGATGATTCAGTCGTTCATCCGGTTGTTCCAAAAAGACCCGTTATGGCAAAACAAACTCAAGTCTGTTGCTAACATCACCCTGACTCAAGTACGGCAGCTGACGCACCTTGTCAGTGTGCTGACACCACTGGCAGACCTCACAGACAAAATGCAGAAGGAGCTGGGGAACCTGGGGATGATCCTCCCTGCTGTCACAGAAATCAAATCCCTGCTCACCGATGACACTCACGCTGCACTTCCAATGGGCATCGCTGCTTTTGCAGAAACATTGGCAAACAACGTGTCAATTCACTATGGAATATACTATACTGATAAACATCTCATTTTAGCATCAGTGTTAGATCCCCGTTTCAAGACAGAATGGTGCTAGCTGTGCCACTAGAGATCCTGGTTCGAATCCAGGCTCTGTCGTTGCCGGCCGCGACCGGGAGACCCATGGGGCGGCGCACAATTGGCCCAGCGTCGTCCAGGGTAGGGGAGGGAATGGCCGGCAGGGATGTAGCTCAGTTGGTAGAGCATGGCGTTTGCAACGCCAGGGTTGTGGGTTCGATTCCCACGGGGGCCAGTATGAAAAATAAAAAAGTAATGTATGCACTCACTAACTGTAAGTAGCTCTGGATAAGAGCGTCTGCTAAATGACTAAAAATGTAAAAAAAAAAAAAATCTGAAGTCTATGCAACAAACTCGGGGAGATAAGGGTAGGCTGTGGTTTAAGCTAAAAAGTGAAATACATGCAGATTTTTTTTTCCTTTTTTGGAGCGAGCGGGGGGGGGGGTGATTTGAGTGGTGCGCGATGCAAACTGCGTTGAGCGATAATGAGCGGACTGGCCTGATGTGGCTTTGAGCGGGGGGAGCGGAGGGGTGAACAGCTCCGTGAGCGAGGAGCTGAGATTCTCACCGCACCACTCCGCTCATATGCTCTACTGTAGGCCTGAACTCAAAGTCAAGGTTGAATTGATGGTGCCTTTCATACTGCCTTAGGGAAAGTGTTCCTGTCTAGCAATTTCAGAACAGCACATGGACCTTTTTTATAAAAGGTTGTATTACATGACTACTTCAAAGTATATTTTTAATCTGCGCTTTTAATGATGAAATGGATTCCAAGAAACACTCCTATAGGTTTAATCAATGACACCCAACCAACATATAGGCTACCATTTAATTTTCTAAAGTTACAGAAATGCAAGGACATTACTCATATCACTTAGGCTAGGAATGTGTGTCTAATGTATCGCAACCATATTTATAAACCAGCTCTCTGTGATGCATACATTTCTCAAGTTACTTTCAAGGTCACTGGTGAATGATCACTGTGTGTTCATTTGGCAGCCCTTTGGACTACGAACGTTTCAGAGAAGCAGCACAAGATGTCTCCTGCCACACGCAGAGTGGCTGGACCAAGGTGAGGGATCTCTCTACTGTTCACCTGCCGTTACTGACTGACAACCTATTAGGACTAGTTAAGAAACAACCCATAAGCTCTTTCCCTAGCTCTTAGGCCTATGGTGTCTGCAGATCCGAAGGAATCTGATTAGGGCTGTGACTGTCATGGAATTTTGGAATGACGGTTATTTGTCAGCCAATTGACTGCGGTCACCATTTTTATAATCGTTTGAATAGCAAACAAGATGCACAAAGGCAACCGGAAGACTGGTTTGCTCCAACACCTTGCAGTAACAAGGAGCAACAAAGTTTCATCACTTTGTAAGAGTCCATGTTACCACAGAAATGGACTCAACTGTATGTCCCGCCTTCAGTCAGCTGTTTAGTCCACAACACAAAATTCTAAAACTGGCTAGTTTAGCCTCCTCTCTCCTTATATCGGCTGTTAGCTGTAAGCCAGACTACTTTGCTGCTTTTGGGTATAGTTTGTCGACTTGAATATGAAGTTGATTAAAAACGTTGGATTTTTTTTTTACGGTTATGATGATTATTTCATTTTCATGACTGTCTTCATCCATAATTGTCGGTTACATTATTATACAATTACCGTGCCACCCCTAAATCTGATAAGTGTGGTGGAAGCTCCCCTTAGGCTTTTTGAAAGGCCTGGTGGAACCATCACCATTTTGCTTTTACCCCCATCCTGGTTCCTTTTGGGTAGGGTCTTGAACTGGGCCTAACACACTGCCCTCGCTGTCCCCAGGTGCTGGTGCCTTTGGTGCTGCTGCAGGCACTACAGGGAGAAGGACAGATCCTGGCTACTCTGCTTCCTCTGGGGGTCAATTTCCTGGAGGAGGCTGAGGCAGACTACATCATCCGGCAGGGAGGATGGGTGAGTGGACACTGGACAAGGGGAGAGGTGGTACAGATGGGGTGGATGGGACAGGGGGGCTGGCCAATAATGAACCACTTATTCATTTCTCATACAAAATTCAAGCAGATTAATGTTTCAGCCTTTACCTGTTGGCTGCTGTTTCTTTTCACAACACAGTATAGCCAGAGGAGGGCGCCAGAGATCCACTGTACATGGTTGGCTGTAAGGGCATTCAGTCATTGTTGAGAGGCTGGCTATAAGGGCATTTTAAAGATAGAACGAGAGAGGGAGACACTCTTCTTAGTTTACCTTTCACTTACTTAGGTAATGCAGCTAATTTAGCCTACTCAACAACTTGACTCATATAGAGAGGAATGCTATTTATGTTAGCTAGCAGGCTAAGGCTATCCAACACTGCAACTCTTCCAAGTCAAGGTAAGTGTTCGGCAGTGGTGGAAAAAGTGTCATACTTGAGTAAAAGTAAAGATACCTTAATAGAAAATTACTCAAGTAAAAGTGAAAGTCACCCAGTAAAATACTACTTGAGAAAGTATACAATTATTTGGTTTTAAATATACTTAAGTATATGTTAGCAATTACATTTACTTTTGATACTTAAGTATCAAAAGTACAGTACCAGTCAAAAGTTTGGACACTCATTCAAGGGTTTTTCTTTATTTTTACTATTTTCTATATTATAGAATAATAGTGAAGACATCGAAACTATGAAATAACACATGGAATGATGTAGTAACCAAAAAAGTGTTAAACAAATCAAAGTATATTTTAGATACTTCATAGTAGCCACCCTTTGCCTTGATGATAGCTTTGCATACTCTTGGCATTCTCTCAACCAGCTTCATGAGGTAGTCACCTGGAATGCTTTTCCAACAGTCTTGAAGGAGTTCCCACATATGCTGAGCACTTGTTGGCTGCTTTTCATTAACTCTGCGGTCCAACTCATCCCAAACCATCTCAATTGGTTTGAGGTCGGGGGATTGTGGAGGCCAGGTCATCTGATGCAGCACTCCATCACTCTCCTTCTTGGTCAAATAGCCCTTACACAGCCTGGAGGTGTGTAAACAAATGATAGTCCCACTAAGCTAATGTCCATTGCTCGTGTTTCTTGGCCCAAGCAAGTCTCTTCTTCTTATTGGTATCCTTTAGTAGTGGTTTCTTTGCAGCAATTTGACCATGAAGGCCTGATTCACGCAGTCTCCTCTGAATAGTTGATGTTGAGATGTCTATTACTTGAACTCGGTGAAGCATTTATTTGGGCTGCAATCTGAGGTGCAGTTAATTGCCCATTTGAGGCTGGTAACTCTAATGAACTTATCCTCTTCAGCAGAGGTAACTCTCGGTCTTCCTTTCCTATGGCGGTCCTCATGAGAGCCAGTTTCATCATAGCGCTTGATGGTTTTTGCGACTGCACTTGAAGAAACTTTCAAAGTTCATGAAATGTTCCGTATTGACTGAACTTCATGTTTTAAAGTGATGATTGACATTTGTTTCTCTTTGCTTATTTGAGCTGATCTTGCCATAATATGGACTTGGTCTTTTACCAAATAGGGCATCTTCTGTATACCCCCCTACCTTTTCACAACACAACTGATTTGGCTCAAATGCATTAAGAAGGAAATAAATTCCACAAATTAACTTTTAACAAGGCACACCTGTTAATTGAAATGCATTCCAGGTGTCTACCTCATGAAGCTGGTTGAGAGAATGCCAAGAGTGTGCAAAGCTGTCATCAAGGCAAAGGGTTGCTACTTTGAAGAATCTAAAATATATTTTGATTTGTTTAACACGTTTTTGGTTACTACATGATTCCATGTGATATTTCAAAGTGTTTATGTCTTCACTATTATTCTACAATGTAGAAAATAGTAAAAAATAAAGAAACTCTGGAATGAGTAGGTGTGTCCAAACGTTTGACTGGTACTGTAAAAGTGTAAATCATTTCACATTCCTTATATTAAGCAAACCAGACGGCACGATTTTCTTGTTTTAATTTACGGATAGCCAGGGACACACTCCAACACTCAGGCATAATTTATAAACAAAGCATTTGTGTTAAGTGACTCTGCCAGAATTGTGAATTGGACCATTTTCCTGTCCTGCTAAGCATTCAAAATGTAACAAGTACTTTTGGGTACCAGGGAAAATGTATGGAGTAAAAAGTACACTTATTTTCATTAAGAATGTAGTGAAAGTTGTCAAATATAAATAGTAAAGTACAGATACCCCAAAAAATACTTAAGTAAAAATACTTTTAAAGTACTACTTAAGTACTTTACGCCACTGGCTTTCGGTTTTATTAATGTATTGCCACCGAGGCCTGCTGGTGTATCTGTTAAACTGCTTGCTGTGCACTGTACTGCGTGATCGTACACTTGGATTGTGGGTTTACTAACGTGTTAGTTCTACTTTTGTTGACTATAACATTAATATGGTGACAACAATGTAGGCTGTGTAGTGGTTAGCGGTTATGGTAGGAAGGTTTGGCTTGGAGAGGTTTTTCACCTGGTCAGAGACAGCTGTTGTGTTGTGCACTGAAGTCCACCGGCAAAGGGAAAAGGTGAGAGGAGGAGAGCGCGTAGAAGGAATTCTACAGCAAGCAAAGTGATGATGCTGTATGTGGCTGCTATGAAAGTGAACTGTGTGGTCAGGGGTGTATTCATTCCTCTGATTCTGTTGCAAAACGGAAACGAACGAAACGGGGAGGGACCAAAGTGAATTTCTCCAATAGAAACAGAACGGAACATTTTGCAACTGTTGGGACTAATGATTACACCCAATGTCGGCTAGATGCAGGCAGGAGTTTGCAAGTCGGTATTGAAAGTGTCACTGTCTGTCATCTTGATTACTCCAATTTGTCTCAACCTCTGCACCTACGTTATAAACGTTCATTTGTAGGCTAGGTTGTAGCTACCTCATGATGGGTATAGGGAAAATGTGTGTATCATATAGTGGCCTAAACCTATCGATTGTTACATTGAGCTGGGTGAATGGAATATGAATGAGTCATCCAATGTGCTCTAATGGAAATGATGCCATGCTAATTTAAATAAATCGTCCTCCCTTATCTTAAACGCCACCTACCACCACTGAACTGGACATGTAGAAGAAGTCGTTCTGCTGTCAGTACAGATACTGTGCAGTGTATTCATTACCGTAACAAGCCCTAGGGAAAAGAAAAACACACATAGAAATTGCTTGATCAGGCATGACTGTAAAGTGCTAAAAGGGACACATGGGTTGAGTACAACTGAATGAAAAGCAGAGCCAGGCCCATGACCTAACCATGTGAATCTCACCAAGACTGTGCTTGACTTGTGGAGAGAATAATCATTGTTGTGGGGCAGTAAAGGGATAACATACCATGACCATCTCTGATACATAATCCCTGACTCACTTCTGCTCGTATCACATTATGACTGGATCCAATCCATTGTTTATGTGCTCAGTCCCTTGGCCACACTAACAAGGCCACATTCCCACTGTTATGTCAGGGATGGACCATAGGCTAGGGCTGGGACAGCAGGGGGAGGGAGAGAGTGAAATAGAGAGGGCGGGGTGGGTATGACACGCCAGTGAGAACTCCTGTGAAGTTCAAGCTCCATTACTGTGACAGCGGTGTGTGGGTTCACTTCCCCCTTCTTTCTCTCCACTCCTCCCTTTCTCTCTCTCTTTCTGGGCTTCTGACCTTGCTCAGGGAAGCACTTACTGTATAGTTGCTGGGTTACAGTCAGGTAGGTCAATTATCTTGTTTTTTGGTGGTGCGTGTGTTGGTGCGCGTTTGTATAGGTGACTGTGTGAGAACATTGATCGTAGTTTAGTAAGAGACTGTCGGTCGCTGTTTGGGGGGATTGAAGAACTCTGGACCGCAGGGAAGGGCTTGCGTCTCTGAATCTGGTTTTAGCCGTGTGGTGAAGTGTATGGATATCTGAGTTGACAGTTTGAACACAGTGCCTAGAACACAATAATCCCCAAGGTCCTCTATGACGGAGCACTTAGAACAGAAAAATGCACAGAATTTTCCCTCCATCTATTGTGCACCATTTACAACCAAGTGGAAATCCCGAACTGCCTCATGGGTTTATCGCTTATTGAGCGATTTTGATTGGTTGTAGTTATCACTGTAAATCTGATGGGAGGCAGATTGATTTAGATGACGGGTACGTCGTGCCATCCTCGTGATAGTGGTCCCTCCTGCTGTGTTTGGAGGCTCTGACGATGACCATGCCTTTTTGTTTAATTACATTAGGAAACAAAAAGGATTATGGCCCCAATGTCGTGTTCACTTCATTGGACAACAAGACCAGCATCTCTTAAATCCGACCCGGCCATAGGAATGGGGGGAAGATGAGTAAGCAAGGGAAATGCAATACACTAGGGAGACATTTTGAATAAGGACCGCTTCTGACACAAAATAGACTAGCATGGGTATGACTGCATTTGAACCTGTTCACTATGAATGGTTTGGGTCTGTGACATACTGTAACTGTGTGAGAGCCTAATACCCTATGTAGCTAGTCTAAGAGTGAGGGGTGTGTCTGTATTAAACTTGGCTGGTGGAAAGGTCATTATCTGAACTTTGTCCTTGAGAACACCCCTACACACCCTCTCCCTCGTCTCTCTCTATTTCTAGCCCTGTCCTTCAGACAGCACTGACTGCTGTCCTTCAGCACGACAGTGAAAACTGCTGCGTGTGTTCTGACGGGGCACTTCAGACATGATGTATTACAGACGTTGTCATGGGTGATACAACTCCTGTCGCTAGGAAGTGACCGGACAAAGGGTGTGTCTGACACCTTGTCTAAGGTTGTCTGGGAGAGGAAGGCTAACATTTTTTGAAAATGAATGCAGTAATATTAGTTTCATTTTGGTGTGTCCCTCAGAAACTGCTCGTGACAAGTGTGCTTATGTTGCTCTCTCAAATTGCGCTTGACACCTCAGTTGCTGCGCACAATAGTAAAGTTACTTGCTAAAAGGCCACAAACTGGGCAGCTTAGTCAGGCAAATGCCCATATACTTTAAAATATAATGAATTTCGGTTGCCTCAAACACGGGCACAAATCATATTGGGGGGGGGGGGGTGCTGAGCGTGTTCTGGTCTGTCTGGGACGCGTCAGGCTGCACAGCCCTTGGCCATGTTACGTAAGAGAAATGTCTCTGCTGCTGGGGTGGAATGATGAGTGCATCTCTTTGTCTTGTGGCGACGGGCTCTGCTGCAGAGCAGAGGAAATAAACCTCAGAAATCCTCAGAAAAATCACCAGAGGCCAGATTGGCCTACTTATAGTTATAGCCTCCCAGAGCAGTGCCACCTTTGTCAACTGCTAACAGCAGAACCCAGGTCAGATCCCCACTGGAGGATGGTCAGTCCTACTCGCTTCACAGCGTTGGTCAGGGCATCACTGCTAATGGCTGAACCCAGGTCAGTGTCTACTGCTGCTGCCTAATGCAACCTGCGTCACAAACACTGACACAGCGAGAGCAACACAACCTTTGGTGCTGGACATCTGGTCTCAAGGTCCTCTGTCGGATGCTCCGAGGCCAAGCACAGTCCCGCCATCTGGCTGTTACCAGGTTCTCTTGTTGAAGCCCTTCTCGGAGATTAGGAAAAACAGGTCATTTTAGTGACGTGTTAATTTGTAGAAGACGAGAAGTCATTCATCCATGTGGCTGTTCCCATCAGGCCAGCTGCTTCACATTAACCCTCCTGAATGGCTTTGATCCTGGATAAACCTGGGGTTACAGTGCCTTGTGAATAGTTATGCACGCTCAAGTTCTGTTTTTTTGGTCTTGTTTGTTTCACCAAAAATATTTTGCATCTTCAAAGTGGTAGGCATGTAAATCAAATGATACAAACCCCCCCAAAATAATTTTAATTCCAGGTTGTAAGGCAACAAAATAGGAAAAATACCAAGGGGGGTGAATACTTTCGCAAGCCACTGTATAGGCCTACACCCAGCTGCAGCCAATCTAACACAAGAAAGGCCATTCCTCTTGGGGGCAGCTGGATCCTTTTTATAATTTTTTATGAAAGCTACTTCCTAAAAGTGTACATGATGTCTTACTCCTTTGACACGGTAGGTTAGAATAGCTTCATTGCTCTTTAGTGGTAGTGGATTAATTGGATGAGGGAGGAGTGATGGGATTAGGGGCATTAATAAAGGTGGAATCCTGACTGGGGGATGTAATTATGTCACTGACAACTCTCTTGGGCAGCTATATTGAATGATCAGTTGATTAGTGAATGGCCATTTATGTTAGTGTCCAATGGTCCCTCCTGGCAGTCAATCCACTTTGACGGCACTTCATAGCAGCACACGACACTAATTGAGAGGAATTGTTAGGATGGGGCCCTCGGGCTGAAACAGACTCACTACTATGGCATTATAGGTTAAATGTAAATGTAAGATTCCGTTTCTCAGAAACAACTGAGGAGACAGAGGAAGGTTAGACAGCTCTGGGCTGGCTGGCTGGTTCAGCATGGAGCCTGATGTCAGCATGAATCCCTCAATGTCTGACTACCAGGAACTCTGCATATGTAACATAACATTAACAGAAGTCTTTACAGTATCAGGTTATCTGCAAAACACCCAGACCAGTGTCCATGGACTTAATGGCAAATCTGTACACACCATTGTAGGCTAAGCATTAAAGGTCCAATGCAGTTTAAAAAAAAAATCTCTATCAAATTTCTGGGTAACAATTAAGTACCTTACTAGCTAAGTTTCCATCCAATTGGTGACAGATATTCATGCAAATAGTCTAAAATCTGCATAAAAATGTGCCTTTTCCCACCAGAGATGTTTCCATCAAATTGACTTGTTGCAGATTAAAGGCTGTGCGTGATGAGGTAGTGCACATAAAAATAACTTTTGCGGTTAAATTGTACAGAATAAAAAAGTACAGATTTAAATGGGTTTCCATCGCATTTTCAGCTCTACTGATGGTTTTCTCACCCAAAATGTTGCGTTACGTAGCGAGTTTGCCCACTCTGGTGCTGTATCCACGCGCTGTTGGCTAGAGCTTGCGTATAGCCTACATGATGAGATTATTATGGACAAAAGAGAGATTTATTTGTCAAACAGAAGCCAATCATCGTTGATCACGTCACCAGAATAAGACCCTCGATATTTATTGGTAAGGAGCATCAACATCACCTTGCACTTTCACCACCCTGTCAAGTTCATCATGACTTATTTAATCTGTAGCCTAATAAACTGCATGCTTTCCCGATGGACGAGTCGTAGTGGGAGGACCACACATGTCAACGCGTGATTCCAAGTTTACGTCGATATAATATTTGTGCATAAGTGTTTCTACCATTTCTCTCGCATAATTCATTTTACTGACACAAAAAGGTCCCACCTTGTCTAGCGTGTTTTGTTGACATTTGGAGAGCTTACCGAAACATTTTCTGTTTCCATCAGGCCTGTCATTACATTTTTATTCAACATGTACTTTACTCGCATAAAAAGGTGGGTGGGGAAACCTGGTTATTGTGATTTTGTTTTCAGTTAAAATGGTCAAAAATTAATAAAAATAGCTTCTTTAATAAAGGGCAATTTCTCAAGCAAGAATTTTGTTAGGACTGTCTGGGATTGGTCGGAGTAGGGAGGGGAAAAACTAGCTGCTATTGGCAGATTTAGAACTCTTTTTCTTATTGGTCTATAAACTAATTTACCGCCTAGTGATATCACCAGGCAGGCCAAAACTCCATCACACTGACATTTCAGGCAGTCTTTTCAAACGGGTATTGCACTAAAAGGGCATAACCATTTTCACAGCATTATTCAAACCTGTGTGGGCATGTACAAAACATTAGGAACACCTTCTCTTTCCATGACAGACTGATCAGGTGAATCCAGGTGAAAGCCAGGGGTGCAATTGCATTTTTGTCCCCCACAGTTTTATCATTGGAATGTGATACAAAACGAGGCAACAGTGTGCTTTAGGACCATGCGGATGCCTCTGAGCGGTTGGGTAGGCTGTTTGGAGTGTTTATCTGACTGGATAAAAAATTAATTATGAGTCTGTCAAGAGCTGCAACGCTGCAGGGTTTTTCACACTCAACAGTTTCCCGTGTGTATCAAGAATGGTCCACCACCCAAAAGATATCCAGCCAACTTGACAGAACTGTGGGAAGCATTGGCGTCAACATGGGCCAGCATCCCTGTGGATGCTTTTGACACCTTGTAGAGTCCATGCTCTGGTGATTTGAGGCTGTTCTGAGGGCAAAAGGGGGTGCAAGTCAATATTAGGAAGGTGTTCCTCATGTTTTGTATACTCTGTGTGTGTATATAAAACACAGGAAAATCACGTGTTTGACTGCACTGGGCCTTTTTAACATTGGATAAGAGGACAAAAACCAATGATCCTTTCACAATATCTTATGGAGCAAAGAAAAACAAGTGAAACAAAGTCAGCCAGTCTGTAACATGACTTGAGTTCCCAGTTCTAATATTTGTGTTGGCGAAGAGCTGTGGCATGTTTAGGTGGCAGGCAGCAAGTCACATGTGACTGAGACCCTGCTGGGAGAAGAGGGGGGGATGTGTGTTTACACAAACTACCAGCTCTGATTCAAGTGATGCAGGCTTCCAAGTCTTGACTAGAAGGATCTCATACAGTATATTAGATGAGGCTGTACATGTGATACTAGTGTGGGGATGAAATATTGCCCTTCACTGGTGATCAAAAATAACATCGGAGCCTAGTATAGCTGCAGGTAGTCTAGCGGTTAAGAGTGTTGGGCCAGTAACCGAAAGATCTCTGGTTCGAATCCCCGAGCTGACTAGGTGAAAGATCTCTGTGCCCTTGAGCAAGGCACTTAACCCCAATTGCTCCTGTAAGTCTCTCTGGAGAAGAGCGTCTGTGAAATGACTAAAATGTAAATGTAATGCCTATGTAATCTCTAATCACTCACAACCTCACTGTACCCTGACTGTGTTAAGGCTGTGGTAACTGTTCATAGGTGCAGTGGAGCCTAGTGTCATCCCTGAGATTAGGTTTAACAGTGTGTGTGGCGGTATCACTCCCCTCATTGTTTGTACAGGGGTTTTAACACAGCATTGTTGAGTGGTACATAGTGCCTTCAGAAAGTATTCACACCCCTTGATGTATTGTACACCTACTGGTAGATTGGTAAAAAATAAAACGGCAGACTTTTTGAATATTCCTTTGAACATGGTGAAGTTATTAATTACACGTTGTATGGGTTATCAATACACCCAGTCACTACAAAGATACAGGTGTCCTTCCTAGCTCAGTTGACAGAGAGGAAGGAAACAGCTCAGGGATTTCACCATGAGGCCAATTATGATTTTTATATGGCTGTGATCGAAAACTGAGGATGGCTCAACAACATTGTAGTTACTCCACAATAATAACCTAAACGACGGAGTGAAAAGAAGGAAGCCTGTACAGAAGAACAAATATTCCAAAACATGTGTCCTGTTTGCAATAAGGCAGAACTAAAGTAATACTGCAAAAAAATTTGGCAAATTAACTTTTTGTCCTGAATACAAAGCATTATGTTGGGGGCAAATCCAGCACAACACGTCACTGAGTACCACGCTTCATATTTTCCAGCATGGTGGTGGCATCATGTTATGGGTATGCTTGTCATCGGCAAGCATACACATAACATATAATAAAAGGAATAGAGCTAAGCACAGTCCTAGAGGAAAACCTGGTTGTATGCTTTCCAACACACTGGGCGACAAATCCACCTTTTCAGCAGGACAATAACCTAAAACGCAAAACCAGTGGAGTTACTTACCAAGACGACATTGAATGTTCCTGAGTGGCCTAGTTACAGTTTTGACTTAAATCGGCTTGAAAAGGATAATGTGCAAATATTGTACAATCCAGGTGTGTAAAGCTATTAGAGACTTACCCAGAAAGACTCACAGCTGTAACCGCTGCCAAAAGTGATTCTAACATGTATTGACTCAGGGGGTTGAATACTTATCTAATCAAAATATATTAGTGTTTGATTTTCCATTTAATAAACACATTTTTAAAAGTATTTTGTGTAGATTGTTGACAAAAAATGACAATTAAATCAATTTTAATCGCACTTTGTAACACAACAAAAATGTGAAATAAGTCAAGGAGTGTGAATACTTTCTGAAGGCACTGTAGTTTGGGAAGAGCTGTTCCTGTGTGGGGCTGCCTGACTTCCTCTCAGAGGAACAGTGTACAGTTTGTCTTTCTGTGTGTGTGTGTCCCGCAGCAAGGGTGGAGAGCTTTGTAACACGCCTGACAACAGCTCACAATACCTCAAAAGTCTGCTGTACAACAGCGACTGTTTTTTTTTTTTCAACTTGGTGCGTGTGAAGTTATTGGAAGGTGCTGAAGAATATAGGTGTTTTCACACAGGGAGTGAAGCTATAAGGACTACAGGTGAGGATATCTCAGGTTTGGTGTTTATTTTCATATGAAGTAGCCTAAATATCTAGATTTTATTTCACTTTGATTATCTGCTTATGCTCTGTCCTAGTGAGTTAAAGAACCATAGATTTTCGCTTTTAGTAATCTCAAGTTTTCAATGTTTTTAGCTGCTAGCTACTGAATAATTGGTCTACTTAGCCTGCTGATGGAGATGTCTTTTATTAGTGCTTTACCATATGTTCTTTTGAGAACATCATAAAAATAATAAATAGTTATATGGCTTTAGTAACTGGGTGAGGGTCTACTGCTGATTATTTCATTTTGACGTAATTTGCCTAAAGACCCAATGCTTGTTACGCCCAGATGGAGACCTATTAATGTGGCCCTAACACATGGCTGCCCTTCTTTATCCAACCACTGAAACCTCTGCCCAGAGAGGAGGGTTTTTAGAAAAATTATGTAAACCACTCTCCCACACACAAATCTGCTTACACCCAGAGAGTGAATGCTAGGAAGGGTTGGCATTAGTTTTAATCCCCTGCCTGGCCTCCCGGGATGCAGCCTGGCCTCTGAGAGAATGTCCTTGTAAGGAGAATAACCTTCATTCAGGCCATAGGACCATAGCTCAAACAACTGTATTTTACATAGATACAGTATAGGCCCCATTTTAGTTAGGAAAATGTTCTGTGAGTTCGATGCAAATAAGTAGTCATTTGCAAGCCTGTTTGAATGGAAGATAAGTGTACCAGAGCAGTTATTTAGCCTGCCTGAATGAACCGTAACAGTTTTAACCTTATCTTTTCATGGGGGAGATGTGGATTAGGCTGAGTCAGTTAGTGCTGTCAGATCCATCCTGTCAGGTCCACGGCACCCTGCTACCCCTACTGTGCTCTGGGAATTCAGTCTGAGCTCTGAGGCAGCCATTTTCACACCGTCTGACACGCGATGCAGCCACCTTAAGTGCTTATGTTAAAGCTTCCTACACAAAGATGTCCCTTTTTTATGAAATGTGCCTGAATAGCCTCCTACTAACGTACCTACCGAGGCACATATTGACATCTAAAAACATACAGTGCATTCGGAAAGTATTCAGACCCCTTGACGTTTTCCACAATTTGATACGTTACAGCCTTATTCTAAAATGGATGAAATAGTTGTTTTCCCCTCATCTACAATCTATACACTACCCAATAATGACAAAGCAAAAAAAAGGTTTTTAGAAATCGTTGGCAAAAAAAACTGAAATAGCACATTTACATAAGTATTCAGACCCTTTACTCAGCACTTTGACGTACCTTTGGCAGCGATTACAGCCTCAAGTCTTCTTGGGTATAACGCTAAAAGCTTGGCACACCTGTATTTGGGGAGTTTCTCCCATTCTTCTCTGCAGATCCTCTCAAGCTCTGTCAGGTTGGATGGGGAGCGTTGCTGCACAGCTATTTTCAGGTCTCTCCAGAGATGTTCGATCAGGTTTAGGTCCAGGCTCTGGCTGGGCTACTCAAAGACATTCAGAGACTTGTCCCGAAGCCACTCCTGCGTTGTCTTGGCTGTGTGCTTAGGGCCGTTGTCCTGTTGGAAGGTGAACCTTCACCCCAGTCTGAGGTCCTGAGTGCTCTGGAGCAGGTTTTCAAATCAAATCAAATTTTATTGGTCACATGCGCCGAATACAACAGGTGCAGACATTACAGTGAAATGCTTACTTACAGCCCTTAACCAACAGTGCATTTATTTTAAACAAAAAAGTAAGAATAAAACAACAACAAAAAAGTGTTGAGAAAAAAAGAGCAGAAGTAAAATAAAGTGACAGTAGGGAGGCTATATATACAGTAAAATAAAGTGACAGTAGGGAGGCTATATATACAGGGGGGTACCGTTGCATTGTCAATCAAGGATCTCTCTGTACTTTGCTCTGTTCATCTTTCCCTTGATCCCGACTAGTCTCCCAGTCCCTGCCGCTGAAAAACCTCCCCAATAATGCTGCCACCACCATGCTTCACTGTTTCCTCCAGAGGTGATGCTTGGCATACAAGCCAAAGAGTTCAATCCTGGTTTCATCAGACCATATAGTCTTTTTTTCTCATGGTCTGAGAGTCATTTAGGTGCTTTTTGGCGAACTCCAAGCGGTCTGTCATGTGCCTTTTTTGCGGAAGAGTGGCTTCTGTCTGGCCACTACCATAAAGCCCTGATTGCTGGAGTGCTGCAGAGATGGTTCTCCCATCTCCACAAAGGAACGCTGGAGCTCTGTCAGTGACCATCGGGTTCTTGGTCACCTCCCTGACCAAGGCCCTTCTCCCCCGATTGCTCAGTTTGGCCGGGCGGCCAGCTCTAGGAGTCTTGGTGGTTCCAAACTTCTTCCATTTACGAATGATGGAGGCCACTGTGTTCTTGGGGACCTTCAATGCTACAGAAATGTTTTGGTACGCTTCCTCAGATCTGTGCCTCGACACAATCCTGTCTCGGAGCTCTACGGACAATTCCTTCAACCTCATGGCTTGGTTTTTGCTCTGACGTGCACTGTCAATTGTGGGACCTTATATAGACAGGTGTGTGCCTTTCCAAATCATGTCCAATCAATTGCATTTACCACAGGTGGACTCCAAGTTGTAGAAACATATCAAGGATAATCAATGGAAACAGGTGGACCTGAGCTCAATTTCGAGTCTCATAGCAAAGGGTCTGAATACTTATGTAAATAAGGTATTTCAGTTTTATTTTATAAATTTGCAAACATTTCTAAACACCTGTTCGCTTTGTCATTTATGTATAGATTGATGATGAAAATAAATAATTGTATCCATTTTAGAATAAGGCTGTAACAAAAAGTCAAGGGGTCTGAATACTTTCCGAATGCACTGTATAGGCCTAAATGGAAGTATTGGAGCAGTGGCCCGCGGGTGGTTTTATTTGGCCCCAAGTTTTCTGAGCAAAATAAATACTGTAAAAACACCCGGAAATCAGCTCCAAGTGATTTTAATTTGGGAAATCTGTTCCCAAGTATTTCCACGCATGATAGAAGAGACACGTGATCATTTAGCAGACGCTCTTATCCAGAGCGACTTACAGTTAGTGAGTGCATACATTTTCATACTTCCCCCCCGTGGGAAACGAACCCACAACCCTGGCGTTGCAAGCGCCATGCTCTACCAACTGAGCTACAAGCAAGGTTTGAAATTATATTTGAGTGAGATATTATATCTGTTTGGGCTCCTTGCGTTCAATTTGCAGTTTACAAATGATTTGTAGTTATGTTCCGGCCCCCCGACCATCCGCTCAAGAAGAAATCGGCCCGCGGCTGAATCTAGTTGAGGATCCCTACTCTACAGCCATAAGGACTGATAGATTAGATTCCATCAGGCTTCTGACCCAGTTGTTAGTTCCCATCCACACACCACTAGGTGGTATGAAAGCCATAGCATCACGAGCATTGTAGAGAACAATATACAAATAACAAGAGACCAAAGAAAAGTCAATAATAAATACCAACATTTATATTACACTATAGACAAGTTACATTTTGACATACTGTAGACACTGCTTTGATCATTTGCTATTTATACCACAAGAAGAGATTATGCATACAAACAAAAACCTGTGTCACAATAGCTTGGTTGGGAGTATATATCATTATCACCTGTGTTTTTGATTGTTTTCAAGCTTGTTCCCATTGCCCTATATTCAGTCACCTAAGAGCAGCTACGGACCTGCAGCTCTCTGAGGAGACCTTTTTAGAAGTCTCTGTCACCTCTATCAGAATTATTTGAAGTCCCAGTGAATAGTAGATGCACCTGTTCTAAAGAGGTTTTACTCTAGGCGATCCCTCCCACGGGCTATGGCCCTTTGTCAAGACCAGGGTAGGGGCATACAGGAACTCTACACAAACAAACTACAGAAGTCTGCATTAGATTGTGATATCCTCAGTGGTTTCCTTAGAATGATCAGCAGGAAGTTAAGTCAAGACAAAAGGTCTGTGATAACGCAGATGACGTACTGTACTATAGCCTCAGATGGGCTGATGTTGGGCTTTTTCAGGTGGTGACTGCACACTTGACCAAACCACATCAAAGTCTTTGTATTGCAACTCCTGTCGAAAATATAAGTGCAAGATGTGACATTTACTTTGACATTACTGAGGTGTGCGTCACACATTTCTACTGTGATATTGCGTGAAAATTCACAAGAATTGGGAGGATCCACACCTTTCTTAGAAGTGGGCCAGTAGTGCCAGAGGTTTTGCCCATTTTTGAAATGTCAGTCTTGTTTATTTATCCACAATGTCATAAGATTATTATATCCCACCCATCAGCACTTTATTAAATGGGAAAATGCAATGCTTGTTATTTTGTGGTTCCATACTGACCACTGAACTTTCTCTCCCTCTCAGGGTACAGTGTTTAGCCTGGAGGAGGAGCAGGGCTTGACCATAGCCGAGGACAGCAACGACATCTACATCCTGGCTGGAGAGCAGCTTCCCACATCGCAGCTGGGCACCGGAGACAACAGTGGGCCGGACAGCTGGCAGACAGAGAGCTTACGTGTGTCTCTGGCAGGCCACGAGTCCTGGGCACAGGTTGGCATGATGGACCACCCCGAAGACATCAAGAGCCTGGAAAGCAACGAGGGCACCCTTGCAGAGGAGCGCAGCGAGAACAACTCTTCCAACTCTGACATCGTGCACGTAGAGCGAGAGGACGCAGAGGAGGGTGAGGGCGGGGCAGAGGAGCCTGAGCTGCAGGAGATCATGCTGAGCGTGCTGGGCACGGAGAGTGAGCTGGCCGAGCTGAGGGCGATGTTTAGGGATGACACCCCGCCTCCTGTCCCAGCAGCCCCAGAGCCCGTGGTGGTAAATCTGGAGGAGTCGGTCGTCATCGAGACCCCTGCTCCCCTGTCGGCGGTCCCATCAGAGCCAGAACCGCGTGCCCCATCCACTGACCCAGTGTCAGAGCCCGAACCCCCTGCACCAGCCCCTGTGGTTGAGCCTGAGCCTGTCCCTGTTGTGGAGGCAGCACCCCCATCCCCCGCCAAGGTGCCCCCTACTCCCCCACCAGCAGAGCCAGCCCCAGAACCAGAGCCAGCCCCAATGCTAGTCACAGCAGCACTACCCCAGCCAGAGCCCATTCCAGAGGAGCCCCAGCCTGAACCTCAGTCAGAGGCTGTGATGGAGCTGGCAGCAGCGCCCGTCCTGGAGGCACCCCAAGCCCCTGTGGAGGCCCCTGTGGCCCCAGCCGAGGAGGCCCCAGTGCAAACGGAACCAGAGCCCGAGTTGGAGCTTCCAGTGCTGCTTTACAGTGGAGCTGCCCTGGTGGCCCTAGCTGCTGTAGTGGCTTTGGGAGTGCTGACCCACCGGAAGAGGTAGCCTAGCGGTGCTCCTGACCTGGGCCCCAGACCTCACTTCCTCCCTGGTCCCTGCCTGGCTCACTTCTGGTAATCTGGGCTGCTGTGCTGCCACTGCCAGGTGTACACACCATGGCAAAAAGAACTATTTTCTCTCTCTGTTTTGTTTTCCCCCGTTCTCATCTCATCTGACGTTTGATATGTTTGTCTTCAGTTGTACATTGCTGCCTCCAACCCATCACCTCAAACTGGAAAGGACATATTATACATTGTCTTGGTTTCTCTATTGTGCGTGGTTCTGTCCTGTGCCATCTGGATGCACGTCACAGATACAAGCAGGGTGTATGTTACCCTCTGGGCTGGTGCTTGGGGTACTTCTTTGTCCTCAGAGCCTAGTGGGCGTAGCTCAAGTCAGAATTGCCAGGAAAGCGAAAAGGGCACCTATTCCAATCGATTTTTTATCTAGAATGATTAGGAAAAAAGTATGTTCTGACTACCTTATGTCCTCTGAAAAGCAGGTTGAGGTTTAGATTAGATGAACATGGTTATGTAGAATCTTTTTTTGATGGCAGTTAACAGATTATGATTAGACTGAATTTGTTTTTAGAATTATGTATGTGATATTGGGATATAAGATTCACTACTGGAGACCCTGATGTGTCTGTAAAATAACTATCTGCAGAATTGAGCCCCATAAAGGGACTATATTGTTCATATAGCACTTGATTATTAATATCACACTAAAATGTGAAGTAGATATATTTATGATCTACTCCCCCACTATATTAAAGGCTGATTGCCAGTGACTTACTACATCAGCTGATGATAAATTTATTATTTTGTCATTTTGGGGCAGATTTAGGAAAATGAGGGATTCCGCTTTAAGATGTGAATGGGATGCCTTGACGCAAGGGTATATATTTTCACATGAATATAATATATTATCACTGTACCTCATTTCAGTAATTTAGTTAACAGACTCCTGTGACAAAATATATGTTATCTCTTTATATAGTGTTGTAATTTATGGTCATTATAATTGCAATGAAATAGATTTTTAATAGTGTCCTAAAAAGAGGACGAGCTGAGGATAAAGATTACCGCAGCTCACAGCCAGAGTGGGATACACAATTGAATTTTATAACTTGCCATCTCTTAGGTTTTGAGGGGATTGTGATGATGGGTGAATGTTATTCACCATTCCAGGCATGAAGATGCATCCTTGAAAATAGATGTTTAGAATCTCTGGTATAGAACTGTCATTGGTCATTCAATTGTGTGCTAGTGTGAGTGAAAACATCAACCACTCCTAAAGCCAGTTTAACCATGATGGCACCATGGTCAATGCTGTTCCAGGCACTGTGTTCTGTCGACAGGGAATGGAGGGTTGGGAATGACTGCACCAAGACATACTTTCTGTCTCTGTCTGGTGAATTTCATATTCATATGTTCAACTCAAATTGTGTCCAAGAGGGATAAGAAGGTTTAAGATTGACAACATCTTTCATGTTTAATATTTCAGTCTACTTGATTTAATCTGAGACTATATCAGAAAGAGAAATTGAGTTGTCTTGAATCAAATTTATGCTCTTATTCCCAACTCCCCCAGTCTGTTAGTAAATAATAACATGCCTTTCTTCTGCTACATGGTCCGCTGTTTGTCCCATCTGCTGGCCCAAACTGCCCACCCAGCACTGCCTTGCCATTCTGCTGTAACCCCATAGCATGCCTACCTTTCTACAGTAGAGACTTCTAAACAAAGATGAACAGCTGTCTGCTGGCTTCTTCCCACTACTAGCAAACCTTCTTATGCTCTTGAAAAGGTCAGCTCCCTCCATTTCTCAAGTCCGAGTGGAGGTCTATCCAGAACTTGAAGAGTAGGAACAACACACGCCAACCCTGCCACAGACAATCAACAGAGCTAACAAAATTACCACTAAGGGAAACCTCATATCTTCCTCTGTTCGTTGTGTACAATGTGAATCCAAAAATAAAATCTGCACTGTAGGCCTCGAGTCAAGAGTTTAAAAAATAAAAGGTGTATTTTTGTGTTATTTTATTTTTTATAACTTTGCACACTTTGGGAGCATGAAATGTGAACACTTGATCTTAATGATCAAGTAGTGATGGCCCTTGGACTACAGTTAACTGGTTGTCCAGCTTTGTTCTGTTCACTGGTTAGTGAATTCCCACTGCTTGGTTAATATCAGTGCTGTAAAGACTCACATAACTCTCACTACTACACGTCCCGCACTGTTGCTTAGCCAAGTGTAAATACAACCATGTGTGATTTTGGGGTGGTAAACAACAGAAAAATGTGTGGATGAGACAAATGAAAGAATGGTGGTTGATCAGTGAAGGCTCCTCAGGGGAGAACCATCCTCAGTGAATTTCAGAAAAATTGTGAAATGTTAAAGTAATCCTTTTTAGATAAAACTATGCTAAATATATTAATGTCACCAAAGAATTGATTAAAACACTGTTTTGCAATGAAGGCCTACAGTAGCCTTAACAGCACTCTGTAGGGTAGCGCCATGGTGTAACCGGAGGATGGCTAGTTTCCATCCTCTGGGTACATTGACTTCAATACAAAACCTAGGAGGCTCATGGTTTTCACCCCTTTCCATAGACATACACAATAATTATGACAACTTCCGAAGGATGTCCTCCAACCTATCAGAGCTCTTGCAGCATGAACTGACATGTCCACCCAATCAAAGGATCAGAGAATGAATCTAGTACTGAAAGCATAAGCTACAGCTAGCTAGCACTGCAGTGCATAAAATGTGCGTAGTTGACTCAAAGAGAGAGACAACAGTTTTGAACAAATTCATTTCTTTAAAAATGAAGGAGAAGCAAGAGGGAGGGAGGGAGAGCTAGCTATAATTTGTTGTATTTTTTTTCACTTAGCTACCAAACGGAGCTAGTTAGTTTAGCCTACTCAAACACCCGGCTCAAACAGAGAGGGATGCTATGTTAGCTAGCTGGCTATGGCTATCCAACACTGGAACTCTTCCAAGTCAAGGTAAGCTTTTGGTTTTATTAATTTATTGCCACCGGGGCCCGCGGGTGTAACTGCTTGCTGACTGTACACTGTACTGCATGATTTTAGCGGGTTTACTAACGCGTCAGTGTAGCTATGTTGACTATGACGTTAGCTAATATGGTGACAACTATGTAGGCTGTGTGTAGTGGTTATGATATGAAGGTTTGGCATGGAAAGGTATTTCTCGCCCGGTCACAGACAGCTGATGTGTTGTGCGCTGATGTCCACAAGGGAAGGGAAAAGGAGAGGAGGAGAATACGTAGATGCGAGAAGGAATTATACAACGAGCAAAATGATCATGCTGTTTGTATGTGGCTGCTATAGAGTGAACTGTGTTTGGATGTGATGGGGGTGTATTCATTCCACCGATTCCATTGAAAAAAGTTTCTTAAACGGAAGCAAACTGAATGAAACTGGGATAAACATACCTGAATTTGTCCAAAATAAATTATTGTTTGGGCTAATGATTACACCCTAGATCAGCTAGATGCAGGCAAGAGTGTGCAAGGCGGTATTGAATGTGTCACTGTCACCTTGAGTAGTCAAATTTTTCTCTCGACCTGTGCACCTACGTTCTAAACTTTCATTCATTTGCAGGTTGTAGCAACCTCATGATGGGAATAGGGAAAATGTGAGTATCATGTAGTAGCCTAAACCTATTGATGTTACATTGAGCTGGGTGAATGGAATATAAATGACAGGCCATGCTCATACAAATCTTAAACGTCACCGACCGCCACCGTTGTTGACCATAAATGTTTGGACAGTTACTTTAAATACAATTGTACAAGGATGCTTTCATGTAGGTCAGTTACGTACAGGTATGCTAATGAATCTGAAACAAATGTACAAAGGGAACCAGTGAGTATTTGGAAAGTACAGTATGGATGTATACTGAACAAAAATATAAACGCAACATGTAAAGTGTTGGTCCCATGTTTCAAGAGCAGAAATAAAACATCCCAGACATTTTCCATATGCAAAAAAAGCTTATTTCTCTCATGTGGTGCAGCATTTTTTTGTATCCCTGTTGTGAGCATTTCTCCTTTGTCAAGATAATCCATCCACCTGACAGCTGTGGCATATCAAGAAGCTGATTAAACAGCATGATCGTTACACAGGTGCACCTTGTGCTGGGAACAAAATGTGCAGTTTTGTCACACAAGACAATGCCACAGATGTCTCAAGTTTTGAGGGAGCATGCAATTGGAATGCCGACTGCAGGAATGTCCACCAGAGCTGTTGCCAGATAATTTAATGTTCATTTCTCTACCATAAGCCACCTCCAACGTCGTTTTAGAGAATTTGGCAGTATGTCCAACCGGCCTCACAACTGCAGACCACGTGTAACCACACCAGCCCAGGACCTCCACATCCAGCTTATTCACCTGCGGGATCGTCTGAGACCAGCCACCCCGACAGCTGATGAAACTGAGGAGTATTTCTGTCTGTAATAAAGCACTTTTGTGGGGAAAAACTCATTCTGATTGTGCCCCTGCCCAGTCATGTGAAATCCATAGATAAGGCCTAATTTATTTATTTAAATTGACTGATTTCTATATATGAACTGTAACTCGTTGAAATTGTTGCATGTTGTGTTTATTTTTTTGTTCAGTATAAAAGCCCCAACTTGGAGGTTTGTACAGAGTTTCCTTTGTACAGTTTGAGACCAGAATAAATAAATACTTAAAACTGCTACTTTGGTTTGTTCACATGAACAAGTTAATAAAAGGGTTAGTATTAAATTATCTCACTTACAAGGATATTTTATTACCCAAAAGTGATTTTTCCATTTATATCCATGTGTCAAATACAGTGAGGGGAAAAAAGTATTTGATCCCCTGCTGATTTTGTACGTTTGCCCACTGACAAAGAAATGATCAGTCTATAATTTTAATGGTAGGTTTATTACAACAGTGAGAGACAGAATAACAACAAAACAATCCTGAAAAACGCATGTCAAAAATGTTATAAGT